GGGGGGGGGGAGGGGCATCCGGGCAATGTGTCAGTTAGCGATCAGGTCACAGGCCGAGGAGCGGCGCCCCGGCAAAGGGGCACGGGCGCGCCAGGGCGGTCGGGCCGGCGCGGGTGCAAGCCGCGCACGCACATTCGCCATCGGTGGACAGCTCGCGGGTGTGGCCATCGCGGCAGCCGGCGCACAGCTCCCCCGACGGGTGGAACGGCGAAAGGACGCGGTCCTCCTGGCAGGCCCAGTTCAGCGGCAGGCTGCCGCCGGTGCCGTCCAGCATGCAGCCGATCGATCGGTCGGTGTCGCAGCGCATGGTTTGGTAGTCGAAGAGCACGCGCATTTCGGTGGCCAGCCGGAGGACCGGGCTCCCGGCGCCGAGGTCCATGACCAGCATGCGCACGTTCTCGGCCGGCCCCACACTCGGGGGCAGCTCCAGCCGGGTCAGGACCAGCTGGTCGCCCGGGGCCAGGTCCATCTGCAGCGCCACGCGCCACAGCTGCTTCTGCCCATCCTCCAGGTACAGGTGGTCCTCGGAGAGGACCGACACCAGGGCCGGCGGGTTGAGGATGCGCAGGGCGGTCAGGTCCACCTCCGGGGGGAGCTCCTCGCGGAGCACCTGCTGATCGGCGCACATGCTATTCCGCCAGTCGAAGCACAGGGCCACCCTGCCGGAGCCGAAGAACACCGCCAGGGTCTCGGAGTCGCTCGAGGGCCCGACATTCAGCCGCACGGCGCCCATGGTCAGGATGTCGCTCGGGGTCGGGTCGTCCTGCAGCAGGTTGTACCTATACCTGAAGGCCAGGTCGTAGTGCGCGACGCCCAGGCTGTCGCTGGCAAAGAGGAAGCCTCCGTGGCCGACCGCCACGGCGGCCGGCCGGGCCCCCGGCTGGTGCGCATGCCCGATGGTGCTGGGTGCCGAGGTGGCGGAGGAGATTTCCAGCACCCACAGGTCCTGGGTGGTGGGGTCCGCCAGGAGGAGATGGATTGTGTCCTGGAAGTACACCGCGGCCAGGCCCTCGAACGCCCGGTCCAGGGGGACATCCTGCGAAAGGGACGGATGGAAGACGCGCACCTCATGGGCATAGATGGCCAGCATGATGGGCTCCTCGAGGGGGCTCTCCACAAAGAGGGCCGTCCACTGGTCCGGCGGGTCCAGCGAGTGGATCATGTACTCGTACTCCCGGCCGAAGAGGGTCCCGGCGCGCGGGTCATCCGAGGCCAGGGGGTCGAAGCGCTGGTGGTAAAAGTGCAAGTCGCCCACATCGGGGTCCACGCTCCAGCCCAGGGCCGGGGTGTCGATGAGCAGGTTGGCCGAATGCATGGGCACCCCGCTGGTGGCGATGCTCTCGAAGCCCGAGTACAGATACTCGCTGACGGGGTTGATTGTGGCCGCGCGAGAGCCCGGCGCCAGGAGCCCGGCCGGGACCATGAGCGCCAGCATCGCTGCCAGCAGCAGCCCCCGGAGGAGAGGCCCGAAGCCGGCGGGCGGCGGGGCGGGCCCCGCGCCACGGCCAGCACGTCGGTCCCGCGTGCGGTCTTGCATCGCGCGGTCGAGTCTGCGCCGGGCGAGGGGAGGGAGGGTAAGGGGACAGGGCGGACGCGCGGAACAGCGAAAGAAGGAGAAGGAGGGCTTTCGGGTGTTTGGCCAGTCCGATGGGTTGGATCGTCTGTGGTTCGGTTTTCCCCCAGTTCCCCGGCTGGGCCGGCTGCGTGGAGGCGGGGCACCCGCACCCGTGCCCGCGCGAGCGGATTCAACCAAAAGATGAGTGGCCGTGTGCGCCAGAGCACACATACATAGGCGGATGGGCCGGCGCCCGGGGTGCCCGGTTCGGCGCTGCGACCGAGGGGGCCTGGTCCGCCAGGAGCCAAGCTGGACCGGTGGGGCGGCCTCGGATCGCGCCCCAGGCCCGTGCCTGCCCCGGAACGCCCACACAGCATGCCCCTGGGCATCTGTGATCAAGGGCCATCCCAGCCAAGATTGTGGCGTTCCCACCACCCGCGCCCAGGCTCCCGGGGGAGCGCGTGCTCATATGAGCCGGGGATTAGGCTGGGCCGGGGGCCGGCAGGTTCGAGGGGTCTACCACGAGGAGGTGGGCTGTCCGTCGGCCGCTTTGTGCACCACCCGGCCGGGATGCCGGCCGGACCAGGTCTCATATGAGGGCGCGCCCGTCCCCGGGCGGACAGCGCGCCGACCTCCGAGGCGTCGTGGGGGGCTGGCTCACAAAGTTGGCAGCGTGGCGCGGCCGGGAGTCCCCACCCCCAAACAGGACAAATTACTCATTCCTTCGTCGTCAAAAATGGCCCGGGTCTCCGATATAAGAACGCCACCAGCACCAGGCATTTGGGTGCGACGGACTGCCAAGGGCGTTGGCGTGTGTTCGCGCGCGCCGTCTGCCCGCGAGATCGCGCTGTTGGCACGACCCCAGGCAAGCACGCCCGTCCCCCGGTCGGGGCTGCGGGGCGTCCATCGACCGGGCGCCAGTGCATGGCCGCGGTGGGAGGGGGCTGGGGATTTTGGCAGACAGTGCCGTCGACCAGCCCGACGGGCCACCGGGGGGAAGGGAACACCCCCAGGAGAGCCTGTGTCCGGCAGGGTCTGCCAGGTAGCCGCAGCATGGCATGGGGCAGCGGGGGGGGGGGGCCGGGGGGCTTCTCTGTCGAGCCGGGCCGGATCCCTCGTCCTGCGAATGGGCCGCACTCGCTCGCCTGCGAATGGGCCTGCGTGATACGCACCGGCCGAATGCCAGCGCATGTCTTTTTTAAGGGACACGCATCTGAAGAGGCACGCCTGCGGGGGGGGG